TGCTAATTGGGTCCGCCGTCGTCTCTCTCTAGTCCGTCCCGACGCCTTTCCGTCGCCCTCGCAAACACACTCGTGACGGCCCTCCCGTCGTTCTCACGGTCTCCCCTCCCGTCCCGTTATTATCCCGTTCACCCCTCTTGTCCCCTCGCCCTCGCGATTTCCCTCGATCCCGTCGCCCTCCCGTTTCTCCCGCCCCTCGCCCTTCAATGCCCCCTCTTCCTTCCCGTCGCCCTTGCGTTTATCCCTTCCTCCCCTCGCCTTCAATGTCCCCCCTTTCCTTCCCGTCGCCCTCACTATCTCCCTTCCCTCACGTTGCATTTTCCTTCCCGTCGCCCTCGCGATATCCCTTCCCCCTCCCCCCCCCTTCGTCGCCTTTCTTCTCTCTCCGCCCATTACACACCTCGTCGCCTACGCTCTTTCTCTGAAACACCCTCCTCAGCGCCCTTTGTCCCCCCCCTGCCATCACTTTTCTCGTCGCCTTCGCGCTCTCCCTCCCGTCGCCCTTGTAATTTCCCCTCCCATCCCGTCGCCTACTTCATCTCCTTTCGCTCACGTCCTCCCCTCCCATCAGCATCGCGCTCACGTTCCCCCCTCCCCTCGCAATCACGCTCACGTGCACCTGTCTTCGCATCGCCTCCGCGCTCAAGGTCTCCCCTCCCATCGCGCTCGCTATCTCCTCCCCTTTTCTCGTCGCGCTCGCTATCTCCCCCCCTCTCCCCGTTCGCGCTCGCTATCTCCCCCCCTTTTCTCGTCGCACTCGCTATCTCCCCCCCTCTCCACGTCGCGCTCGTTATCTCTCTCGCGAACTCGTATCGATCCCCCATTTCCAGTCGCCCTCCGTTCCCGTCGACCTCCGTTCTGATCGCCTCCGCGATCTGATGTCATCGCCTCTCCCGTCGCCCTCCCATTTCGCGTCGCCCTCCGTTCCGATCGTCTTCGCGATCGGCTCTCACATCCCGTCGCCCTCCCGTCTATTTCGCCATCTCCCATCTGTCCTCATCGCCCTCACGATCTCACTTACCATTCCCTCACAATGCAAGTCCCCCCTCCCTTCTCATCGCCCTCACGATCTCACTTCCCATTCCCTCACGATCTCTCTCATGGAAGACGAGGCTTCCCTTCCCTTCGTGATCGTCAGCTCTCATCCCCTTCCCGTCGCCTCACTTTCTCCCATCCCCTTCCGTCGCCCTCACCTTCTCCCGTACCTTCCCGTCTTCCTGGTGTTCCTCCAATGCCCTCCGTCACCCTTCCTCTCTCCCCTGCCACCCCGTCTCCAGTTCCGGTTCCTCTATCCCCATCACCCTCTTTCTCTTCATTCGCATCACCTTGCCCATCATCATTTCCCCCCGCTTTTTTTTTATTCCTCCATTCCCCGTTATTGCACCTCTCACAGGCCCCAAGTCCAAGGCCGCACATTGCTAGATGCGAATTTGGTTAAGTATAGGCACTAGCGTGTGTATTTGGCTCTCATCACGTACATGTGTGTCCGCTTGGGAGTAGAGTGAAATGTTGATAAATGTGACCTTGGTGAAGTATCGGCTCTAGTGAGTGCAGGAGTGCACGTCGCCTCAACTTTGCGCCAAATTCGCACACGTACATGTGAGGGATTCTGGCTGCCAATCAGAATTGAGGAAGAACTTTCGTTCGAGGCCCACTACGAAACTCGTATGAAGGCTGAATAAAAAGCACACAGCATTTCCAACTTTTCAAAACAATACAAAAGACTTGAGTAATCAAGTTGGGTCCAACTAGAAGGGGGGGGTCACTATTTTAGCTACGGGCTTTAAGAGGAGGCACATCACACTGCTACCCAGGAAAACATCTAAAGCAAAACAGCCCACACAATGGAGAAGTATCTCAGATACCTTCCCCCACCCCAGTATACCCACTTCTTCCCAGCACTCACCTCTTCCATAAGCAGCAAATGAACTACTCACTTGAATCTAAACTGAACCCAATCAACAACGTGGTCCGTAAATTTGCACCTCCTAGAATCCATGAAGCATTCACATCTGAAATGCCCATTGTGCAACCCTCGCCTTGCTTCAAGACCGCCCTGTCTCCATGCCATGCAAGAGCAGCTCGCAAGAGCTCGCCGCTTGTTGAGGCGGCTCAAAGCCCAGTCAAGCCCGTCACTGCTGCTTGACAAAGGAGAGCAGCACACGAGGTTCCGCCATCGCCGGCTGCGCCACACCCGACGATGACTGCCCATCGCCCACAGGCTGTGCTACAGGCTCCTGCACCGCCCGGTGTCGGGTTTATCCAGACTTTTGCCACGTAGGTGTTCACGGGTGCGGCGGGGGAGGCGGGGGAGCGGCGGGGTGGCGGCGCCGCAAAGTGGGCGCTATTCCTGTGGGGGCGGGGACAGGGTCGGCGGCATGTAGGGTGATGGTCTACTTGATGCCAGCGACCACCTGGTGCGACGCGCTGGTGACTGAGACGAACTTGAGGTTCCCGTTCTGGTGGGGTGGGGAGGAGAGGGGTGGGGTTTAGAGTGGGGTGGAGTGGAGTGGGAAAGGAAGGGAGCGGGGGCTTGTGATGAACCACTTGATGCTGGCGACCATCTGATGCGACGCGCTGATGACTGAGACGAACTTGAGGTTCGCGTTCTGGTGGGTGAAGTGGGGTGGGTTGGGGTGGGGAGAGAGGGGGGTGGGGGGGAGGGGAGAGGAGTTAAGTACCTGAAGCTTACGTTTTGGTAATTCAGGGAAATTAAGAACTAGGCATGGTGGCATATTGTTACAGGGCGAGATTTGAGCGAGAGGAACGTGAGGGCCCGCTACTGACCTAGAGGACCCCTCGCCTCGGAATGTGGCAGAGTGGGTCGAGGAGGGGATGAAAGGAATCTATGAGGTACCTCCAACGAGAGTGGTTCTGGGGGCTTTAGAATCGATACTGGAGTAAAGACAGACTCAAACTCGATACCTCTTTCTTTGGCAAATCTGGCCAAACACTTAATACAAAGAATATTGATACCTCTGGTTCTGAGACATCTCAAACACACGTTATTTTATCAGGCACTTCAAAACACTGAACGGCACTGAGCCTTCTCTAGGTACCTACATCTTTCTTGTTGTGCGCGTCATCCTTAGCCTCCACATCCTTATTCGTCGCCGCGTCTTTCACGCCGGACACGCCGCCAACAAGCGGATCTGCCGCAGCCGCGGGCGGAATCGAGGAGAGGAGAGCAACGACGACGACGGCGGACTGCTGCTGCGACGGCACGCACAGCGAGATTCACGTGGCTGGCGATGCGATGACCCATGATGGTCGTTATTGTTCAGAGATACCAAGCTAGGATGTGTGAATCAATCGATTGGAGTCAGGGAGGCTATTGAAAAGGCAAATTACCCTCGCACACTACAAGGGCTCACTCCCTCAGTCATATATACTTCGTAGGATCATCAGTCAGCTAGTCGTGAAGCCCCCATGCTGGTTGGGTCATGACTGGAAGTCAGGACTCGCCGCTGGCGCCAAGATTTGAATCCGTCATGACCCAATCAAAGTGGTTTGAATTGAGAAACGCGCAAAACGACGACGCGTTGATTCCCGCTCGCCAACGCCGTTTGCGCAGCGCCCATAAGAGCTTTGATGATTACGAGATTTGTGGACGCGCAAAACGGCTGCTGATTGGTTACTACGCGCAAGTGCTGGCTCGCCAATGCCATAAGTCTAGATTATCTTGACTCTGCACGCGCAAGCGACAGATAGGCTACTTGCTATAGCTATCGTTTCTAAAATATATTGATTGTGAATGCGCAAAGCGGCAGATCAAAGGCTACTAGGATTTGCTCTGGCTGTGAGCACGCAACGCGGCAGATGATAGGCTATTAGGTTCTGCTCTGGCAGTGAACGCGCAACGGGGCAGATGATAGTTGCTGGGTGAGCAGGGTGCGAGCAGAACGCATTCTGCGTTTCTGGTACATTTCGTTCTTGACACGAAGTCGGACGATCCGAAGGGGATTCACAATATTATTTAGTGAACGTACCTGGTTCATTTAGTGCGGTTTAATGCGTTAGAAACGGGTCGAGACAGTTCTGAGTTTTCACCAATACGAACCATTTGCTATCGCGTTTTGACGTACTTGACCGTAGTAAACGAACCAGGTATATTTAAATGTGACCCCGCCTTCTGTGTATCAAAAGGGTTACCGCGAGTTCGTGGATTCCCGTTCCTAAATCGGCTTCCCTCGAGACCAGGCGTTCGCTACAATTCCGAGCTCTTAACGTTCTGAACCATACTGTATTGCTCTTGGAAAGTAAAGTACCGTATATTACCGCATCATGGTGGGCACGTGCCTTAGCGGCTCTTCGGGTTGGGGCAACCCACCCATGGCTGTTCTGCATAGAACAGCCATAGAAGCTGTCTCTGAGACAGAACTCGCTCATGTCTCTTCTGCACAGTTACGACTGCTTATGTGTTGTACACGTACACCATCGCTGTAATTATAAAAAAGCCTCTGATGCACTACAACCCATTTCTCCGCTTCCCAATAGAAACAGATAGCCAGCGTAGCTTTCCGAGTCCCGACGAGTTCGAATTCGTCGCCGCCGCCTTTCGCGAATACCCGTCGCATCGCCACGATAATCGTCGCCTTCGTCGGCTGCATAGCGGCGGCGCGTGTGGTAGCGGCGAATCGTCACCGTCGGTGGCGGACTGGCGGGGGGTTGTTCAGAACTGCACAACGGAGAGAGGGAGAGAGCTTGTGAGAATTGCAGAACGCAGCATCTGAATAGGAATTCCGGCTTGGGTGCGACAAGCAGAAGGCTTCGAATAGCTAGGAAGCAGGAAGGTGGAGGAGGGGAATTCTTCTAGACCCCCTTGAAAGGCGACCAGGGAGAGAAGGGGGGGAGGAGCCATGGCGCAGATGGTTCCGCTCGATAACTCCCTCATAGATCTCGCCTCCCTCAGGTAATGCTTCTTTAGCCTCCCTCAGGTAATGCTTCTTTAGCCTCCCTCAGGTATGGCCTCCCTCAGGTAACGCCTCGCTCAGGTACTAATGCCTCCCTCAGGAAATGCCTCCCTCAGGTATGGCCTCCCTCAAGTATGGCCTCCCTCAGGTACTGCCTCCCTGAGGAGCTGCTTGACACTGCCTCCACCTCAGATAGAACTGCGCTTACAGCTGCCTCAGTTAAGGTACTGTCCGCCCCCTCCTCAGGTGCCTCCTCCAACAAAATATTATCCGCCCTCAGTTATTGCCGCCTGTCTGTCTTTGCCCTTTCCTCCAGTTTCCCCCCCCCCCACACGCCCTTCCATGCCATTGCCAACTCCCCTCTGCACCCCTCCCATCCCCTTCCCTCTCTGCCCCTCCCATCCCCTTCCCTCTCTGCCCCTCCCCATCCCCTTCCCTCTCTGCCCCTCCCATCCCCTTCCCTCTCTGCCCCTCCCATCCCCCTTCCCCCTACCCCTCCCATACTCCTCCCGCTATGCTTCTGTGTGACCACCCTATTCCCTTTCGCGTGCTCCCCACTCCCCTCTGCGCCCTCCCCAACCTCCCTCCCCCACCCTCCCACATGTGTGCCTCTTACGAGCAGAGCACACGCCAGTCAACGCCTTGTTGACGCCCTTGACTCTGTGAGTTGACCTGCGTTGACTAGTCTGACTCGTTGCTTGCTGTTCATCACCCCCTACCAGTTCCAGCACCTTCCCGTCGTTTATTAGTAGCCTTTCCAACCTACCAGTCCCAGCACCGTCCCTCCAGTTTTTCAGTGCTCCTTTTACTCAAGCAGTCCAACATCCATCCCACCCTCCCACCCTCCCACCATCGCACCCTCCCATCGTCACATCATCCCACCATCCCGCCATCGGCTCCCATCCATTCCCACCGCATCCCATTCCACCAGGTGCCGGGCGGCAAGGCTCTAGTGCTGGATGCGTCTATCAGCGGCCCGCTCGCCTTCATCGCTCCCATCTCTCTCCTCAAGGTGGCTCAGTCATAGGAGCTTCGCCTCTCAACTTTCCCCACTCCATTTCCCCCACTCCGCTCTGCCATGTCGTTTCCCCACTGATCCCCTACTCCATTCCCCCAAATCATCCCCTCCCCCCCCACTCACTGCTAGTGTTAGCCCTTAATCTCACATTTTGTACTTGCACTGTTTTATCCTAGTGTAGTGTGCACTTCGTGTTTGGTTGGGTGTACACCCACATCCCAACCAAACCCAAATGTGATCTCCAAGCAATCTCCAACCCACCAATTGGAGATTGCCTTGGGATTACCCCCAATCTCCTAGGATTGTCCCCAATTCTCTCCCCATCCTTACCTTGCCCATTTCCGATGTACTTAAAAGCCTTGAGCTCATTACTAATGTAAGGATTCTAAGCTCAAGTTCTGACACTCACCTCCATCCCTGTTCTCTCTCTCCCCTCGTTACAGGAACATGGAGTGGAAAATCCGTTCCACATAATTTTTCTAGGCACCTCAGAAATGTCCTCCTCCCCCCTGCACGTCTTCCCTCGTTACAGGAACACGGAGTGGAGAATCGGTTCCACATCAGCATCTTCTGAGGCGCCTCAAAAGCCCCCATTCTCCTCCATCCCCGCTCTCCGCGTGTCCCTTCGTTACAGGAACACGGAGTGGAAAATCTGTTCCACATCAGCGCCGACCCCATCCAATCACAGTGCTCCACCGTCCTCTACCTCCTGCGCCCCAATCCGCTTCTCATTCGCTGGATCACACGCCAGGTACATACAGACACCTTTTGAGTCGACTCAAAAGTTGGATCACACGCCAGGTACATACAGACACCTTTTGAGTCGACTCAAAAGTTGGATCACACGCCAGGTACATACAGACACCTTTTGAGTCGACTCAAAAGTTGGATCACACGCCAGGTACATACAGACACCTTTTGAGTCGACTCAAAAGTTGGATCACACGCCAGGTACATACAGACACCTTTTGAGTCGACTCAAAAGTTGGATCACACGCCAGGTACATACAGACACCTTTTGAGTCGACTCAAAAGTTGGATCACACGCCAGGTACATACAGACACCGCTTGGTACCATCCTTTATCGCCTGTGCCCCAATCCACTTCTGATTCGCTGGATTCCACGCCAGGTACTGTGTGCTACGACTTGGTAAGCTACCGCATTATGTTAGCACCTGTTGGTACCGCACTGTACCTGCCCCTTCCACGATTGCGCCCTTTCCTCCCATCTTCCCGTCCTGCCACCTCCCCTTCCCATCTCATCAATCTCACCAGGTACGTGCAGTGCAGACGAGCACAAGGATGCGAGGGAGAGAAGATATGGCAGTGCTCCCTCTCTCCCTCCTTGTCTCCTGTCCTGTGCCATTTCTTCTATCCCACGCATCCCACGGTCCCACCAGGTTCGGGCAGTGCAGACGAGGACGAGGGCATCACTCGCACCTACTACTTACTCTGCTCGTGTAGGCCCTCCATACTCCCTCCCCCTTCTTTTTTCTCATCCCGTCCAACCTTTCTTCCCCTTCCCCTGCCATGCACCTCACCAGCAGGGCATTGGGGACCAGACCAGGAATTTTTAGGCGCCTCATAAATTTTTTTCTCTATCCCGTCCAGCCCTTCTTCCCCTTCCCCTGCATCTCACCAGCAGGTGCGTGGGGACCAAACCAGCACGAGGGCATCACGCGCACCTACTCACTCCATTCGCTCTTCCTGTCCCCTTTCTCCATCCTGTTCTCCCATCTCCGTGTCCTATCTCTGCCGAATCCTTTTTCATCAACCCCACCAGGTGCGTGGAGACGAGGACGAGAGTGTGACTCGCACCTACTTGCACCTACTTGCACCTTCTCACACCTACTCACTCCACTCGCTCTTCCTGTCTCCATTTCTCCTGTTCTTTCTCCTGCCCCTTCCATCTCGCAGTTCTCATCACCAAGTGCGAGCAGACGAGGACGAGGGCGTCACTTGCACCCACTCACTCCACTCCTTGTCCTGACTCCCTTTCTCGCTCCTTGTCTCCTGGCTATCCCCTATCTTCCATGCAACGTATCCCACGGTCCCACCAGGTGCGAGCAGACGAGGACGAGGGCGTCACTTGCACCCACTCACTCCACTCCTTGTCCTGACTCCCTTTCTCGCTCCTTGTCTCCTGGCTATCCCCTATCTTCCATGCAACGTATCCCACGGTCCCACCAGGTGCGAGCAGACGAGGACGAGGGCGTCACTCGCAGCTACTCACTCCACTTCATTCCCAGATGCGACGCCATCTGCACCAGGGTACGTTCCTGAACTGAACTGAGAGAGAGAGAGAGAGAGAGAGAGAGAGAGCGAGAGAGAGAGAGAGAGAGAGAGAGAGAGAGAGAGAGAGAGAGAGAGAGAGAGAGACAGAGGAGGCAATGGGCACGCCAGGGGCTACCTCCGCGTTCGTGCGCTCCAGTTTGGAGGCAATGGGCACGCCGCTAGGATTGATCGAGCGGATGGAGCCGCAGCTGGCGGGACTGCTGCTGTCTCGGTGCGTTTCGCGCCGTGTATCCTATTTGGCCCGCACGACTCCCCTCCCGTCCCTGCCCAAGGAGGAGTGGTCCGAATGGGGGAGGCAGATGCTGGACACTTTGCTCACAGCGTGTGGCATCATACACCCGCGAGGGACCGAGGAAACTGCGCGCACTTGGGCGCAGGCCTTGCTCCCTGTATCTCTTGGTGGCCTTGGGCTGACAGATCCGTCCGTGGAGGGAAGCTACAGCTTCCTCGCCAGCTACACGCAGGCTCACCTTCTCCTTGACTCCCTCGAGGGCGACTGCAATGGCCCTCTGGAGGTCATCCGCGAGCAGATGCGCGGCCCCTATACTCAGTCATCTCCTTTGACCGAGTGGTTGGCGGAATGCGAGGGGGAGCTTCCACTGCCGGCGCAAGAAGCACTGCAAGCGGAGAGGACAGCCCCTACCGCGGGAAAGCTGCAGCACGGGTTAGCCACGGCTATCCAAGGCCAGCGCTACGCAGTTCAGGTGGAGGAGGTGCGGGGGATGAGCCCGAACCCAAACAATGGGCACACACAACGGCTGTTGTCCCTGTCGGGGTACGGGGCGGGGGATTGGTTGAACGCGGTGCCGCTGCACCGCACGCTACACCTCGAGGCTCCGCACTACGCCAACGCAGTCCAGTTTCGGCTGGGGCTCCCCTTTGCGGCCCCCGGGGTCTGCAATTGCTCGAAGCAAGTAGAAATCCCTGACAAGCGTCTCCCAAACCACCTGTTACGGTGCGGGACAGGGGGGGGGCGCACAAACACCCACAACGAACTCAGAGATGAGTGTGCGCGAATGGCGCGCGACGCGGGCTTCATGGTGCACATTGAAACGGCCGCCTTCAGCCCAGTGGAGGAGAAGAAGGCGGACCTTGCCCTCCGCTGCCGCTCAACAGGAGCCGTCTACATCTGTGATGTGACGGTGACGGACCCCATCACCACCCGTGACGAGAATGCAACTAAGGGGCGGGGGTGGGCGGCTCGGGAAGCAGCAGATAAAAAGCACGGCCTCTACAGGGACCGCCCCGAGTGGGTGAAGTTTTTCCCGCTCGCGGTCGAAACTTATGGGTGCCCATGCCCCGAGACAGTGGATTTCCTGAAGCTGCTCGCAGAGACAGCTGCAAGGCGGTTCTTTAACGCTGAGCCAACCTCCTACCAAGCTGCCAAGCTCTTACACCACTTTCGGCAGCGGTGGTCGGTGGCTCTTCAAAGGGGGCAGTCTATCGGTTATTTGGAAAATGCAGCATAGCGGCTGCAGTGGAAAACCCACTGCTCGAGGCAGTGGGGGAGGCTCCGTCCCTAGGGGATTGCCTCACGGTCCTTGATCCTGTACTGGACCTAGCTTAGAAAGGGGGGGGGGGGGGGGGGGGGGGGGGGGGGGTTGTATGTTAAGGGAGTCGTAAGGCCTTTCGCACCATACTGACAATAGCTACCTCCCTGCAGCCGTCTGCGGCACACTCGGTCACCATCCAAGACATGGAGGGACGACTGCCGCCGCTGGCGCTGCAATACCTCCGCGAGGAGCAAGAAACCCCGTCCCAAGACCAGCTGCAGCGGGCCCTCTCTCTGGAAGTGCATGCGGCAAAAGCCGACTCCCTGACAGAGGACTCACGCTCGATCAGGTCAGCCCCCGAGACGGGCCACACGCTCCGCCTCGTCAGCCTGAGAGGCGAGGGAGCGGGAGCATGGCTGCAGGCCCTACCCTTGACCCCAGACCTCTGCTTCTCACCAGGGCAGTTCCGAACAGCCCTGGCCTTCCGCATGGGCATCCGACAGAACGTACCTACTGTGTGCGAGTGTGGAGAGCTCGTGGCCGACTGCAGCCTACCCAACCACCTACTCCGCTGCAGCACAGGCCCTGACAGAACGCGCACACACAATCAGCTGGCCTTTGCCGTGGCAAAAATGGCGAGGGAGGCGCAGCTGGTGGTATACCTGGAGAATGCAATGTACTCACCACCAGATGACCCGAAGAAGGCCGATGTGATGGTGCGTGACCCAGACAGTGGAGAGACTTGGATCACAGACACGACTATCACCGACCCTGTGCTCCAGAACCGGGACCCCACAGCCCGCAAACCCCCAGGCTGGGCTGCAAGGGAGGCTCAGAAGCGGAAGGAAAGAGATTACTACCGGCACACAGAACACGTGGTGTTCTGCGCCCTGGCCGTCGAGACCTATGGGGCAAACGCTCCCCCCACGACGGCGTTCCTGAAGCTGCTGGCTACAGCAGCAGCTAGGAACCGGTTCAGGGCCAACCCCCTGTCGAAATCGGCCAAGAAGATGGCCTGCCACTTCAGCCAGCGATGGTCAGTGGCCCTCCAGCGCTCCCAGGCGAATGCCCTACACACCAAGGCCAGGGCTGGGATAGAGGCAGCGCACCCCCAGATGGCAGCGGACCCATGGCCACTGCACCTAGGGGACATCCTCCACACGCTGGAGGGTTAGAGGGGCACTAAGGGGGGGAAGGGTCAAAGGGATGGGTTGATGGGTCGGAAGGTATAAGGGAACCACGAGTCAAATTGCATGTCTGTACCCCCCTGCTGAATCAATACAAAGGACCATTTGAGAGAGAGAGAGAGAGAGCATGTGTGCCTGCATGCGTGCATGCATGTTCAAATGTGGCATGTCCGCGCGCGTGCGCTTGCGCCCCACACACACATCCTCTGCAGATTCTGGAGCATCAGGGGCTTGTGGATGACCCTTGATGACCCGTGAGTCGACTGGTGCTATGTTGGAAAAAACACGTTTCGCGTTTAGTACGCTTTCCGTATAAACGCTAGAGTTTATACGCAGTACGCTGGCCGGAGGGGGTCTGGTACGCACAGAAAAACGCTTGCCCGGGCAGCTAAATTCTTCTCCCGGGCAGGTTAAGATGCTAGGTCAAGAGACGGGAACGGGAGCTGCTGTAGTAGGTTATCGTCGCAAGTGAAATTAGAAGGGGATCAAAGGGAAAAACGACCTGACATTGAGCGGGGAGGATGAGTCTGGTTGAAGTTGGCAACAAAATTGGAAGGCATTGGTAATCGATGTGGTTGGAATGGGTTGTTGAGCGGTTGATAGGAGGGGACGATTCACCAAACGGTTTCGAAATTCAGATCTGAGGTTGCATTTGCAATTCGCGATCTCAAATCTGAATTCCGATACTCGCGAACACAACTGATTTTTTTTTTCCCGGTCAGCCCGAGAGAAATTTGGCGAATTTTAGAAAAATACGCAGCGTACGAATTTTAGATGCGTATAAACTCAATACGCAACGTCAAACTTGCGTTTTTTTTCAACTTAGGACTGGTGCAAAGCTAGCATTGCTGCATGCCACCTACATCTACTTGAGTCGACTTTTGAATCCACTACGTATACTGATTCTCCCCGTTCCTCACATCTGCAGATTCTGGAGCAGGATTGGACGACCCTTGAGTCGACTCAAAAGTCATCTTGTTGTGACCTGCGTCTACTGTTGCCCCCCACACCACACATCCACTGCAGGTTCTGGAGCAGGAGGGACTGGTGGGCGACCCGCGGGTGGCAGTGGGCGAGTATCCCCTCGAGATGATCCCCGTGGACCATGACCTCCTCGCACTGGACCTCCATACCCTCTATAAGGTGACCTTCTTACCCTTGATATATTGATTGTTGTCCCCTTCATAAGCCAATTCTGGAGCAAGATGGCAGTGGGAGAGTATCCCCTCGAGATGATCCCGTTGGACCATGACCTCCTCGCACTCGACCTCCATACCCTCTATAAGGTGAATCTTGTACCCTCTATAAGGTGAGGTGATTCCGAACTGCACCAATCCAATCCAATTCAGGACGTGGACATGCACTCAAGCCACACCACTGCGTTACCCTTTCCCGCACCTTTTCATCTCTCCCACCCTACCCTTTTTAGTTTTCCCTTACCTTTTCATTCTCTTCCCCACCCCTCTTCCCCCACACCCTTCCCCGCCCCCCTGCCCCTTCTTGTTCTGAACTGCACTAATCCAATCCAGGGCATACACGTGGACTCAGACCCCGCCTCTCCTTGACCCTGCTCTCACCTTTCTATCTCTCTCCCCTCCCACCCCCCTCCCTCCCGTCTGACCTATCCAATCCAGGATGTACACGTGGACTCAGACCCCACCTCCACTTTGCAAGTGGCGCGAGTGCTGGCTAATTTCCAGGTAATTTCCAGGTGACGATTTTTAGTAGTTGAAGGTGGTAATCTCAGCCATTGATGGTGATAATCCAGTGGTAATCTCAGCCATTGATGGTGATAATCCAGTGGTAATCTCAGCCATTGATGGTGATAATCCACGCGATGCCAGCTCATTGCGGCTGTGGTTACGAACTCCTATACTCATGGCTGTTACTTTTGAGAACTATCAAAAGGGATGCCAAATGATGTTTTACCATCCCGATGCCTCCCGTTTGATTCCCGTGCTTCTTTTGATTCTTCACTGCCTCTCATTCTCTTGATTCCAAGTCATTCTCCTCGCCCTGTCTCCCACGCACTGCAGTCCGTGTTTGGAGTGCCTCCAGTGCTGAAGGGCAAGGGAGTGGCAGCGCAGCGAGTGGCACAGGCCATGAGTCAACTCATGAAGGAACAGAAGTCGCACGTGGCGCCGGTAGGCCTGCTGTGATGCTGCTGCCGGTAGGCCTCCTCTGCTGCTGCCGGTAGGCTTGCTGATTTCTGACATGTCTTGAGAAACAGGCCATGGGTCAACTCATGAAGGAGCAGAAGTCACACGTGGCGCCGGTAGGAGTTGTTAGTTTTAAGCTGACTCAAAAGGCATCGTAAGCTAGACAGTCTACTCACTTGTCGCTCTAGTTTCTGGGACTTATGTGACCTGGCTCTTGAGTTGCCTCGAGTTTGTTTCTCGTTTGCTTCAGCCCAGTGAGCTGAAATCTTTACTGGAGTGTGGAATGTCTTGTGGCGTGGTGGAGTGGTGTGATGTGGGGCGCTGCGGTGTGGGGTGGAGCGGTGTGGTGTGGGGTGGAGCGGTTTGTTGTGTTGTGGTGCGGTGTGGTGTGGAGTGGTGGTGGCAGGTGGAGCATCCAAGCGTGGACATGATGGTGCTGATAGACAGACAGGTGGACATGGTGACGCCAGCATGCACTCAGCTCACATACGAAGGGCTGCTTGATGAGGTCAGCATCCCTACAAAGATGATGTCAGCATGTTTGATAAGTGATGTCAGCATGCCTTCATAGATGACATCAGCACTTGAGGCGCATCAAAGATAGACAGACAGGTGGACATGGTGACGCCAGCATGCACGCAGCTCACATACGAATGGCTGCTTGATGAGGTCAGCATCCGTAGAAATCTGATGTCAGCATGTTTGATAGGTGATGTCAGCATGCCTTGATAGGAGTCAGCATTTCTTGATAGATGAGGAGGTCAGAATCTTCCTCTGCCAGTCTTGCTCTCTACCTTCAATCATCTCTTTGTTCTTCCCTCTCTCTACCTTTCCATGCGGTTGGGGTTCAGATGATCATTCCAGTGAACGCTCGGGAAACGCAAAGCCAAGCGAAGCGAGTGTGGCTCTCTATGGGTATGAAGAGGGAGCATGCGCAAATTTGTCCAGCCATGAGTACGGATGATGCAGTTACACGGAACTACAGCCCCCATGAATGGATGTGGGACGCAGTCACATTCAGTGCTGGGCATGGACTTCGATGAAATAACAAATGAGTTTGATGGGCACGTTGGGGTTGGTGAAGTGGTCGATCACGAATGACAAGCATTTCAGTTGACAAGACTAGAGATTTCATAGACCATAGATTCGTCTAACTCGCATCATTGCATGGAATATACAGCTGATCAATCAGAGTCGGTTGAAGATGTACATAGACCTATCGACCTTGACTGATCAACTGTATATTCCATGCAATGACGCAAATTTGACAAATCTATGGCCTGTCTACGTAATCTTTAGTCTTGCGAGTTCATGATCGACCACTTCACCACTCCCACTGTGCCCATCATCTTCATTGATTCTTTCATCAAAGTCCATAGCAGTACTAAATGTGACTGCGTCCCACATCCATTCAGGGAGGCTGTAGTTCCGCGCAACCGCATCATCCCTAGTCATGGCTAGACAAATTTGTGCGTGCTCTCTCTTCATACCCATAGAAGCCACACTCGCTCGGCTTGGCTTTGCATTTCCCGAGCGGTCACCAGAATGATCATCTGAGCCGCAGTGGAGGTGGATCATATAGTCATCGGAAGGAGATACCTCTTTGCGCCTCTTCTGCATGCAAATATTTTCTCTGCCCAATAGTTTTGTACTTCCCTGTCCCTATCTTTCCACCCAGCACCTGCACGTTACGGACGGGGCGAAGGTGAATCTTGCAGTCATGGGGAAAAAGGGAATCACCTCCCTAACGCGTCTCTTTTGCGATCACCCTCTCACTCTCTCTGTCCCGTCCATTTATCTCTCCTCTCTCTTCCTCCACCTCTCCCTCACCCAGCTACTGCACGTAGCAAACGGGGCAGTGGAGGTGGATCCTGCAGTCATGGGGGTGACATCCAATGCCAGGAAGATCAAAGTGCCTCTCAACTCCAAGTGAGTGAGGGGCGTGGTTGGTTATTAAGAAATCTCATAAAAATTATGCTCGGAAGACCCTATTATGAGAGAGGGTGTGGCTTGTATAGAACCAACGCCAGGAAGATCAGAGTGCGTCGCAACTCCAAGTAAGAGAGGGGCGTGGGGACCAAGATTCGTAGTGCTTGGTTTAGAGTAGACAAGTGTGCTGTGCCCTGTTGGTCTCTTTACACGAGAGAACTGTCCGGCAGTCATGGGGGTGACATCCAACGCCAGGAAGATCAGAGTGCCTTCCAATCCAAGTTCCGACTCTAAAGAACATGGTCGGATTCCAAGAGTTCTCAAATGAAAGCCCTCTCATGCCTTGGCTTTGTGTGCAGCCCCTTCCGTGCACCTTCTGCAAGGCAGCTTGAAATGATCTCAGCAAGTGGTGAAGCCCTTCATGCGCTGCCTTGCCCTCCTCGCCTTCCTCGCCTTCCTCACCCTGCTCGCCTTCCTCCACTCACCTGTATCTATGCATTGAGAAGCTGTTTCAGAAGCTTAGAGCTTTTGAGACGTCTCATGCTTCATCTTGCCGTCCCTCCCCGCCGTCCTCACCTTACCTATATCTTTGCAGTGACAAGCTGTTTCAGGACCTTAGAGGCCGCAACTTTGGATCAGCAGCGGAGGTGAGGTGCTTTGCATTGTATTGTATCACATCGCATAGCATCACACCACACCACATCACATCACATCACATCACATCACATCACATCACATCACATCACATCACATCACATCACATCACATCACATCACATCACATCACATCACATCACATCACATCACATCACATCACATCACATCACACCGCATCCCATCCCATCCTCTCATCGCATCCCATCCCATCGCATTGCAACGCATCGCATCGCATTGCATTGCATCGCATCGCATCGCATCATAAAACATCAAAATTGCATAGATTCGCATCGCATGGTGCCTTGAACACACAACGCGGAGTCAAAGCAATGGGGAGAGTACAACTACTTCTTCACGTGTCTCTGTCCCCTCTTCTTTTGAGACGTCTCAAAGTCATTCACGTGTCTCTGTCCCCTCTTCTCCCTTTGCTCCATCGCTGTCTCTGCTCTCTTTGACCCTCTGTCCCCTCTGTCCCCTCTGCTCTCTCTGCTCCCCTCCTCAGCTGCTGCGAGGCAAGGCAGTGGAGATGAAGTCAGGGTATGCCAACCCGAGGCAGAGGCCATAAAGAGGCACCTGAACCCCAAAGTACAACCTTAGCACTCGTTTCCCCCCCCTGCTTCCTCTTACTTGTCTCTCTTCAGCTGCTGCGAGCCGAAGCAGTGGAGATGAAATCAGAGTATGCCAACCTCAGGCAGAGGCCGCAGAGAGGCGCATGAACCCCAAAGTACAACCTCTTAACGTCCCTCTGCGCTCTCTGCTCCCCTTTCCACCTCCCACTCCTCCTCAGCTGCTGCGAGCCAAGGCAGTGGAGATGAAGTCAGAGTATGCCAACCTCAGGCAACGGCCGCAAAGAGACGCATCGCCACTGCGCTCCGCTGCGCCGGGTGGCCAGGGAGCTGCCTCTGCTGCTGCTGCTGCTGCTGGTGGTGGAGAGCAGGTGAGGATTGATCTGCTACACCTGTTGCACCTGTTGCAGTCAGACAGTGTTCTCCTCTTTTTCTGAGACGAAGGATTTCATCAAGAAACACGGTTCTCCTCTGTTCCTCGTTCCCTACTATGTCTCACCACATGTTGCACCTGTGGCATCTGTTGCTTGCAGACGGTATCAGAGCTCAAGGACTTTGTCAAGAAACGTTGTGCTCTTTCCCTCGTTTCGTACTTGTGTCTCACCACGTGTTGCATGCACGTGCTGTGCCTGCTGTACCTGTGGCATCTGTTGCTCGCAGACGGTATCAGAGCTGAAGGACTTTGTCAAGAAGCTCAACGTTCTGCCAGAGCTTACGGTGAGATGATTCATCTTTTCTTTATAACCCTTGCTGTTCTACATTTTTTTTTTTTTTTTTTTTTTTTTTTTTTTTTGGCAACATTGTGTGGCAGGTTTTGTCCAGACTACCTTCCAGTATGTGTGCAAAGTTTTACACTTTATCAGGCTTCACCTTTTGCTCTGCTGACCTGGTCCTATCATTTCTTCTTACATCTTCTAAACCTTTCCCTCCCTTTCCCTGTCTCCCCCTTCCCATCTCCCATCTTCCCCCACATCCCCCCCCATCCCCCTCTTAGCGCCACACCAACCTAGCGGGGCACATCTCGCAGGTCACCAACCGGCCGGCCTTAGGCGCTCACCACTTCCCCCTTTCTCCTGTCCTTCTCCCCCCTTCCCTTCCTTGTAACATCCCTTCCCTCACCAGCGCCACACCAACCTAGCGGGGCACATCTCACAAGTCACCAACCGGCCGGCCTTTGGCGCTCACCACTTCCCCCTTTCTCCTGTCCTTCTCCCCCCTTCCCTTCCTTGTAACATCCCTTCCCTCACCAGCGCCACACCAACCTAGCGGGGCACATCTCACAAGTCACCAACCGGCCGGCCTTAGGCGCTCACCACTTCCCCCTTTCTCCTGTCCTTCTCCCCCCTTCCCTTCCTTGTAACATCCCTTCCCTCACCAGCGCCACACCAACCTAGCGGGGCACATCTCACAAGTCACCAACCGGCCGGCCTTTGGCGCTCTCATCTCCACGGAGCAAGCCATCCTGGAAGCACGCTCCATAGACTCGTACGTGTGTGGGTGGCACATGCTTTCACTGTTGTTCTTTTTCCTTTGGGCCTGGGAAGAATTATGTTCGAACACCAACCGGCCGGCCTTTGGCGCTCTCATCTCCACGGAGCAAGCCATCCTAGAAGCACGCTCCATCGACTCGTACGTTCACCACTGTGTGCCCTGTGCCCTGCGCGCTGTGTGCTGCTGTGGTATGCAATCAACACATGGTAGCTCTCATCGCATCTCCACGGAGCAGGCTATTCTGGAAGCACGCTCCATCGACTTGTACGTTCGCAAATGGGCTCCCCTATGTGTCTGATGGTACTTGACGTGAGTGCCCTGTTCTGCTGTCCTACCGTCCCATGGTAACTCTGATCTGTGCGGATTTATGCCCAAATGTGTCTGTGACTGCAGGGCGTGTGAGTACATAGAGGACGCCATGGCACAGGGATCTCTGGAGATGTTGATTTGTATCTATATGCAAAAATTACGCCCAATTGTGTGTGTGACTGCAGGGCGTGTGAGTACATAGAGGATGCCATGTCACAGAGATAGCTACAAAGAGTCTGAGCTACATATATGTATGCGTGTGCATGAGTCTGCATGTGTCTGATTGTGTATGAATGTGTGACTGCAGGGCGTGTGAGTACATAGAGGACGCCATGGCACAGGGGCATCCCATGAGCACGGTGTTACGCCTCCTCTCCCTTGTCTCCCTCACCAATGGCGGTATTCCCAAGGCACGCTTCGACCATCTCAGGTACGCCGTGTGTGAAAGCTGAGCTTTTGTGCTACTTTTTAGAACCTCTCTTATGTCTTGCTGCTTCCACTCACACCACAACGCCCCATTGCATCCCATCCCATCCCATCCCATCCCATCCCATCCCATCCCATCCCGTCCCGTCCCGTCCCATCCCATCCCATCCCATCCCATCCCATCCCATCCCATCCCATCCCATCCCATCCCATCCCATCCCATCCCATCCCATCCCATCCCATCCCATCCCATTCCATCCCATTGTATCACACCTATCAGGCGCGAGTTCCTGCAGGCCTACGGCTTCCTTCACGTCTTTTCTCTTGACAATTTCGAGCGCGCAGGCTTGATCAAACGCCAGGTGGGGTACCAGGGAGGTGGGGTACCAGGCAGGTGGGTACCAGGCAGGTGGGTACCAGGCAGGTGGGTACCAGGCAGGTGGGTTTTGAATCACTAAAGCATAAATAATCTCATGGTGTTCTTCTCTTGTGGAATTTTGAGCATCTTGAAACCTACGCCGACATGACATGACATGCTGTGCTGTGCTGTGCTGTGCTGTCCTGTGCTATGCTATGCTATGAGGACCTCATGTCGTGCGTACAGGAGGTTGACTTTGGAGTTGACTCAAAAAGTCCTCCGTGCTTCACTACTTGTGCTGTGTGCGTGCAGGAGGGCCGCAGCACATGGGTTGCAGTGAAGCGGAGCCTGAGGCTCATAGTGGATGACGATGATGATGCCAAGTGCGAGAGAAGGGTGGTGTTGAGTGGTGGTGTTGGGTGGTGTGTGGTGGTGTGTGACGCTGATGATCGTAATTATGACGCCAAGCGAGAGAGCGAGTGGTGGCGTGAGTTTGTATGTGGTGATGATAGTGATAGTGATGGTGATGGTGATGGTGATGGTGATGGTGATGGTGATGGTGATGATAAGGGTGCAAGGGTGATAACAATGTCAGTTCAAGTCCACAGGGTTCACAACTGCACATGTCACAACTGCACATGTCACAACTGCACATGTCACAACTGTACATGTCACAACTGCACTTGTCACAACTGTACATGTCACAACTGCACTTGTCACAACTGCACATGTTCGCAATTGCACATCTTCCCCTCTCCTCTTCCTTCTCTTAGCTCCTCACCCTCACCCTCTCATTCGGTCACTCCTTGTTTCTACCTCACTCACTCTTCTTCCTCACCCGCCCTCCCTCGTGCCTCCCATCCAGCCCCAGGGACATTGCATTCTCGTTCTCCGAGTAAGCCCCTGCCTTTTGTGTCACCTCGGAAGCCAGCTAGCTTCAGATTAACATCCATCCACATCCCTGCACATCCCTCCACATCACTCTCTTCTCCCATGCCCCCCAACCAGTCCCAGGGACATTGCGTTCACGTTTTCTGGCTATGCCCCTCTAAGTGTGCGCCTCCTGCAACAGGCCATCCAACCTGGAGGCTGGTGAGTCACCGTACAGTCCTCATTGATTTCATCATTTCGTATCTCCTCTTGAGTCGACTCAAAAGTCACCCCATCCAACCTGGAGGCTGGTGAGTCACCGTACAGTCCTCATTGATTTCATCATTTCGTATCTCCTCTTGAGTCGACTCAAAAGTCACCCCATCCAACCTGGAGGCTGGTGAGTCACCGTACAGTCCTCATTGATTTCATCATTTCGTATCTCCTCTTGAGTCGACTCAAAAGTCACCCCATCCAACCTGGAGGCTGGTGAGTCACCGTACAGTCCTCATTGATTTCATCATTTCGTATCTCCTCTTGAGTCGACTCAAAAGTCACCCCATCCAACCTGGAGGCTGGTGAGTCACCGTACAGTCCTCATTGATTTCATCATTTCGTATCTCCTCTTGAGTCGACTCAAAAGTCACCCCATCCAACCTGGAGGCTGGTGAGTCACCCCACGGTCCTCATTGATTTCATCATTTCGTATCTCCTCTTGAGTCGACTCAAAAGTCACCCCATCCAACCTGGAGGCTGGTGAGTCACCGTACAGTCCTCGTTGATTTCATCATTTCGTATCTCCTCTTGAGTCGACTCAAAATTCACCCCATCCAACCTGGAGGCTGGTGAGTCACCGTACAGTCCTCATTGATTTCATCATGTCGTATCTCCTCTTGAGTCGACTCAAAAGTCACCCCATCCAACCTGGAGGCTGGTGAGTCACCGTACAGTCCTCATTGATTTCATCATTTCGTATCTCCTCTTGAGTCGACTCAAAATTCACCCCATCCAACCCCATTGCAGAAACTCACACAGTCCTCATTGACTTTTGATTCTACCGTTTCGTATTTTCTCCTTCATTGATGCTACCATCTTCTCTTTAGTCCCAGATTTGTTTTATCTCTTGCCTCTCGCCCGTAATGGTTTTTTGTGCATGCCAGGAGAGCGATGGACGAAGTGACAAAGACTGCCACAGGACCAACTTTTGAGTGGGAGCAGGTAAGCTGGGAGGCACCTCCACCTCAAGAACATGTCCCTTCCCTAGTACTTTCCACATGATAAACTTCAGCAAGAATGTACCAAGTTAAGTGGTTCGAGAATTGTTCTGAAAAAACATTGAGCATATTTTTTTCTTGGGATCATGGCTATTGGGTAAAAACTTTTGTGCGTGCATTTCTGGCACAACAAACGTTTGGCACCTGACTAAAGAGGAAAGAGGAAACAAAAGGGGGTAAGGGGGGGAGGGGGAAAGGGGGAAGCCGTGACGCGACTAGCAATAGTAAGGTACTAGTGACTCAACACACACATTCTACATTAGGACTCATAATTCAAACAATGATTAGGATATGTCATTCCATGCAATGGCGAGAAACCAAGTGAAAACCATGAGGTTGCAGTGAGAGTTTCTGCATAAGTGGCTTGCTTTTACTGTTGCTCTTTTGCCCTCGTATAGTGGTTTTCTCGACATTCCTTCCTCGTCTGCTGCTCCTCCTCTCTCTCACCACCCACCTTCAGTCTCCTGACGGCACCACCCATCGGGGCATCACCAACTGGACCCCATTCTCTGAGTCCGTGCCTCGCCTCGTGGCGGCTGTTTTCCTGAGCCTTCTCAACGATACACAATACACGATGCACAAGCCTGTCCTTTATTTTCCTCTCTCCCACCACCCACTACCAGTCCCCTGACGGCACCACCCATCGGGACGTCACCAACCGGACCCCGTCCGCCATGCGCAGAGGGCCATCGGAGTCGGTGCCTCGTCTGGTGGCTGCTGTATTCCTGGGGGGCGTCACCTTCGCTGAGGTTGCTGCTCTGCGCTTCCTCTCCATGCAGGTGCGTGCATGTGGGGCCGTGAGTTTGTTGAGCTAGCAAGGCCCTTTGAGTCCTAAGGAAGCTCAAGATATGGCTGGGGGCTGTCGGAAGTTGTTCCTGGGGGGCGTCACCTTCGCTGAGATCGCTGCTCTGCGCTTCCTCTCCATGCAGGTGCGTGCCTGTATGCATGGATGTCTTCGTGCAGGCGTCTTAGCATGTGTGTGCATTTGCGCACCTTGAGTTCTGAAGATTCCCCAGACACACTCAGCTGGTTGGGCGGCTCTGCTGCTACCTTTAAATAGGCTGATGCTTCTCCGGAGTCTCTGGAATCAGTCGTTTTTCAATCGAGTAAAATGTTGCTGTGCGAGCGAGGTTCACTCTCTTGTGAATTTTTCCATGTTTTTTTTCGCTGGCGCTCTCTCCCTACAGGTGGAGGTTGGAGGAATGAGATAAATGTGTGTAATACAACTAGGTTCCCACTCCCATGCTCTATACTTGCCTGATCTTCACCTCTCCCTCTTGCGTGTACGCTGTTTCCGGTGCTGAGCAGGATTCGGCAATCACGTCGTTCCTCATCATCACAACCAACATCGTCTCTGGCAACTCCCTCTTACAGCCGTTGATTGAGACCGTCTGATCTGACAATTCTACAGAACATGATGGTAGGGAGTCTACTGAGCTTTAGTGTACGAAAATGGTGGTAATCTGGAAGTGGCCATCAGTCTGATGAGATACATGCATGTGAAGCAGCATTGCCGAGTGTTTTACGTTTGCCATCGATTATTTCTCCACAAAAACCGTTGCTTTATAATAGCTCGTGCATCCATAAATGGCACCAAGGTGTCGCCCGGATAGAAGACTGTGTTGCATTGAACACACTGTTGTCTTCTATGGGTGCATATTCTAATAAGGCGGGGACTTCTTTGTAAAGAACATAATGGATTATACATGGGGGCGTACAGATGTGGTGGTGACGGCCCGCGCGTGCACCATGGCTAAAGCAGTAGCCCGAGGAGTAGCTGAGAGTTTCGATGTCGTGCACCAACAATGCGTCATTGTGTCCCGTGGGTGGAACTGACTGTTGTCCTCCTAGCACAAACCCCATGCCGGTTGTACTATCCAGATACTACAATACCCTCTCAGCAGTCGAACAGTGCTCTCTCCCAGTTGCAACAAAGAGAGCAAGGGATGTTGAGAGAATATGCGAAAACTGGTCGAGTGCGGGTCATTAGGTACATCAGGCACCCTTGCCTCTAGATAGGATTTGAGGCACCCCATCAGCTCTGTGGACAGACCACTCGGCTCAACAGGCTTGTCCGGGACAGGGGCCGATAACATATCGCCAACAAGTAGAGGAGTGGGCTGTGCAGAGGAAAAAGGCCGGAGAACTATACCGTAGGATATGCTGCACCACTTGTGACTGAGTGAGAGAGATGGTGCGAGTGTAAAAAGAGACAAACTCGTCAAAGGTGACCTCACACAAGCTAAAAAAAACTGGTGAGAGGAAGGGTGGTAGCAAGTCAACCCTCGGCGCAAAGCGTTGACGCATGACTAGGTGACCTCCATCCAGAGGATGGTTAGCGGAACCTGCGGGCATGAGACTGTTAACCGGAATTGAGTGTTGGCCCCGCCCTCGCTTGGGCAACGCCGACGAATTGGTCGGTTGTACGGGAGTAGCAGCCGACCGTTCACAGTGGGAGAGCTGCTCGACAGGCATCGTCGAGCTGCAAGGGACCGCTGTGGTGCTGCCGTCCACCAAGGAGCTCGACAGCTGCAACTGACTGGTCTGGGCGATGGATGGGACGTCGACCAGGAGGGGCAGTTCGACCGGGAGGCCTCCGTCGACCTGCAGCTCGACCGGGGGGTCCCCGTCGACCTGCAGCTTGACCGGGAGCATTCTTTCGACCTGCAGTTCGACCGAGAGGTCGACGGAGCAGTCCGTCAACCTGACAAGTGAGCAGCGGTCGACGAGGGGAGCTCGGCGACAACTGCTAACGATTCTGGTCGACAGAAGGGGTCCGTCGACCAGAGGGTAGCTTGACGGGAGTTGTGGTCGACCAGAGGCACCTGGTGGTCGACCAGAGGGACTTGGTGGTCGACCAGAAGCAGTGGTGGTCGACCGGAAGCACCTGGTGGTCGACCGGGTCGACTGGGTAACTTGCTCGACGAGTTCTGCGGAGGCACGCGAACGTCGTCAAGGTCGCAATGGCGCAGGCAACTTCGGGCTGGTATCGCGAAGTCGATGTGGCTCGTCAGGCGCAAACAACAGCCGACGGATGCCCAACGAGGCAAGTCAGGCCAATCGTCTGCGCGCACCTGCGAGTGTGCGCACTGCTGTGTTCTACGGGGCAATGCTAGACAGCCGCTCAGCTGCAGCGTTGGCACGCCGTCGACCTGCTCTGTTGGCAGGTCGCCCTTCTCAGTGCTGGCGCGGCTCCTCTACGCAACGCTGGCAGGTGGTCGACCGAGCTGTGCTGGCGGTCAACCAGGCTAGCTGCAGGGTTGCTAGGTGCCTGATGTAGTCGTTGTTGCCATCTCTTGTTCTATGATTCTGTAATTTCGACTTGGCCTAGTGGAAACTCTTACCGATTACTCCCGTGAATGCGCAAGCACTAAGGAATTAAGCAAAGCTGCGATCACCTCTAGTAGTTGGTGCCAACCCCGTAGTCTAGCTCACTACCATTGTAGAGTGACTCTCCGCAGAGACATGGGGGCACATGTTAAGCTAGTGCGCGGTTGTACCAGAATGCAAAGGCCCGAAGAGAGGAGGGGAAGGGGGGGGGGGGGGGGGGGGGGGGGGACACTGGCATGAATCATGGGGGTATGGGTGATCTACATGATTAAGCAAATGCAACACTCAGCGACCTTATTCTGCTGCGGCGAGTCCGGATGCGAGAACGACTGGCGGGTTCCCTACGCGCCACAAAATTGCTCAATCTGACAGGGGGTGAACCCGCCATCTTGGTCAGAGCGCAGAGGAAGCAGATGCTGGAGCGCTGGGTGCGGATGGCCACTAGCGACGGGAGGAGACGTCGGCCTTCCGATGTAAGGGAAACACCATGTCGTAGTGGGAAAAGTCATCCACAACCACTAAAAAGTAGTGCTTCTTACACTGTCCATCGAAAGGGGCAAGGCCCTAGAGGTCCATTTGTAGGGCCTGACATGGGGCAGCGACAAGAGACAACGAGGAGTGAGGGACAACGTGCTGCCGACCCTCAATGCAAGGAATGCACGGAGATGCAGACGAGGGAGGGGTGGGGAAAGCGGATTTGATAGACCTAAAACAAGACTCTTAAAAACCATATAACGGAGACGCGGGAAGGAGGGGTGACCTAAGCGGTGAAGCCACAAAAGCGACGAGTGAGTGAGTGACCGAGACGAGGACGCCACAGCTACCTGACCATACACAAGTAACCTGAGGAGACCTAGTGCGCTGCATGAACATGCCTGATGCTGGCACCCGAGGGAACGTAGCAAGAGATGCTCCAGTGGTACATTTTTTACAGGTCGATGAACGCTCATGTCCAGGAAACGTGGTGGTCACACCAAGGTCCTAAAGACAACTGACACTCACCAAGTTTCTGGAGAACGAGTGGATGAGCGGACATGTGAGGGAGCCAAAGGGGTTTGCCGGACACGGGAGAGTAGTAGTGCTGCAAGCAACGACTTGCCCGGAAGAGAGGCCAGCTAACGCGACTGGGACTGGTACAGGAAGAGGCATGGGGTCGGTGCGGTCACGGAAGAAGCAACGAGACTTGCCTAAGTCAATCGTGAAGGAGAGGAACTTATCAGCTGTGGCCGCACATGTGCAAGCAACATCAGATGATCCTAAACAAGAAACATCTAGAGATCCTAGTCTTGGCAAACACAAATAACAAGACCTAGCAACACTAAAGTCAACGGCATACTTGACAGGTCCAGAAAACAAAGCAGCATAAATAGTAGTCATTTTCATACAAAACGCAGGCAAGACACGCTGAAGAAGCGCCAGCCAATCCTGGAGCTCCACAGCAAGGCCGTGCGCTGGCGGTAGAGGTCGGAGAGGTGGCTGAAGCAGCGCGCAGCTAAATGATCAAGACATGCGCATAGCTGACCGGCGTAAGGACCAGTTTGAATCACATGCTAGCAGGGCCCACGGTTGCAACCATTGCTCCTGTAGTCGATCGAGCCCCATTGCTGCTGGTGAACTGTCAAACTTATATGCTATAGTTTGTGTAGGCTGTAGTGGGGTAGCTCATATGGGGTACAACACTTTAGGGTTTCCTACTTGTACTCCTCATGCTGCTCAATGCAATCATTCCTCGTTCTTATTTTGACATGGTATTAGAGCAGAATCGTTCCTAGGGCCCACCGAACGTTCCGCCCTGCCCTACAGCAGCGCTGCCCTTGCAACCTACATGCTGCCCCTGCAGCCGTGCCTGCCCCTACAGCCCGTGGCCGCTGCCTCTGCAGCCGTGCCTGCCTCTGCAGCCCGTGGGTGCTGCCCCTGCAGCCGTGCCTACCTCTGCAGCCCGTGGGAGCTGCCTCTGCAGCTCGTGGGAAATGCCTCTGCAGCCCGTGGGGCCTGCCCTAACTCCTGCTCGTCGCGACGCCCTCTGGGCGCCATCCCTGCTCATCGCGGCGCCCCCGGGGCGTTGCCCCTGCTCGTCGCGGCGCCCGCTGGGCGCCGTTCCTGCTCGTCGCGGCGCCCCCCCTCGGCGTCGCCCCTGCTCGTCGCGACGCCCCCTGGGTGTCGCCCCTGCTCGTCGCGGCGCCCCTGAGGCGTTGCCCCTGCTCTTCGCGACGCACCTGAGGCGTCGTCCCTGCTCGTCGCGACGCCCGCTGGGTGTCGCCCCTGCTCGTCGCGGCGCCCCTAAGGCGTCGCCCCTGCTCGTCGCGACGCACCTGAGCGTCGCCCCTGCTCGTCGCGACGCCCCCTGGGTGTCGCCCCTGCCCGTCGCGGCGCCCTTGAGGCGTCAACCCTGCTCGTCGCGACGTCCCCTGGGCGTCGCCCCTGCTCGGCGCGGCGCCCCTGAGGCGTCGCCCCTGCTCGTTGCGGCGCCACCTGGGCGCCGTCCCTGCTCGTCATGGCGCCCCCTGGGCGCCGTCCCTGCTCGTCGCGGCGGCCCCGGGGCGTCGCCCCTGCTCGTCGCGGCGCCTCCCTCTGCAGCAGCTGCCTCAGAGCCCCGCCCTGCAGCAACTGCCGCAGAGCTCCCTGCCGCCGTCGCAGCCTCGCCCTACAGCAGCTGCCGCGGAGCCGCTTGCAGCCGTCGCGGCCCCGCCCTGCTGCAGCTGCCACGGAGCCGACTGCCGCTGTCGCGGCCCCGCCCTGCAGCTGTCCCGGCCCCGCCGTCGCCGCCGTCGTGTGCCTACCCTGCTCGCCCGGCGAGCGACTGCCTTTCCCGCCACTGGTGAGCACTTGCCTTACTAGCGCGCTGCCGCGCTGGCCTGCCTGCCCGTCGCGCCTGTCGCCGCCCAGCTGAGCTGAGCCGCCCAGCCGAGCCGTGTCGTACTGCCGGGCTGTGCAGCCCTACTGCTACTGCTACTACTGTTACTACTGCTCCTGGCGGTGGCCAGATGCAGCTCCAGCGACGTCCGCGAGAGTCCCTCACGCCCCAGCAGCTTCGTGAGTGGTACGCTAGTTGGGGTTGTAGGGGT